AGTTTCTAGTGGAACCAGCGTGCCCGCTCCCGTGGCTTTTCTGAAAGCGATCAGCGGTTGGCACACAGTGCACACCAGGGTTCCTCCAGGGGGTTCCGCCACCAAGGAGGGGTGCTCCTGAAACTGCGAGCCGCAGCACCCCCGTTACGCAAGGAGAGGAGGGAAGGCAGGGCCCTCGTGACGGACGGAGAGCGTGAGCCCAGAGCCCGCAGGCTGGAGATGCCGCAGAACCCTCTTAAGTCGCCGTGGCTGGAGAAGCGCACTGGAAGCTCTAGCGTCGGGCCAGCTGAGGCCTGGAGACGGAACAGCGGTGTGAACGACCGAGCCCGGAGTGGCACCAGGGAGAGGCTGCCTGAGGCGGCAGCGACGCTTGCTGGGGGGAGGGGCTGGGACAGTGGGTGCCTGGGCGCAGTCGCCCAGGGTGCTTCCTGGTAGGACTTGGGGAGAGAGGAGAAGACTGGTGAAGGTGCCAGAGTTTTAAGCAAAAGAGGAGGAGACGGAGAGAGAAAAGCCTCCGTCACGTATTCAGATGCCGGAAGTCGAAAAGGGAAGGAACCACCGTCACCGACAGAATCAGGGACCAAAAACGCGAGGTGGGTCAAAAAATAGGAAAATGAAGATGACTGGGCACAGACGCAGGATCTGAAGACAGCCACGTGAGGGAGGCTCGACCGGCCTGGTGCGGTGCAGCCACCAGGAGTCCGGCAGGTAGGACAGGCCCAGCGCTGCCCAGAGCGCGGCCCTCGGGCTCGTGGGAGTTCAAGACAGCGGGGACTCAGAAGCACAGCCCTCGGGCTGGTTACCATGAAGAAGGGAGACCCACAGAGCCCGGGAGTCACCTTCAGATGCCTGCAGGCTGTGACTCAGCAACGGGCCTAGACCCCCACGAGCACGAACCCCGGCGCCGGCGCGCTCACGGACAAGCCGCTGCTCGAGGCGCAGCGTCCCGAGGACGAAGGCCACTGCAGGAGGCGGCACGCTTCCCGTCTCTGAGGCCGCGAGAGGGCGAGCCGGGCAGGCTGGCCGGCGTGTTCCAGAGGAACCCCAGTGGAAGATGGGTGCTTGTATCACGTAGCCTTTTCAACTCCTTTTGTCCTAAAATTTTATCAGACTTGGAGATTTTTTTGCCAGTGTCTCTCCCAGGATGGCCCCCGAACCCTCTGCTCGCCCCGCTCTGGGGCCTCCACCCACGTCCTCCCTAGGCTCATCGCGGCTCACCGACGCTGCTGTTGCTGCAGGCCCCTCTCTCGCTGCGCTTCACTCAGGGCTCTCTGTGGCTGAGCGAACTGTCTCCAGGCTCACCCCACTTCCCTCCGGGGTCTACCCTGCTGTCACCTCACCCCGCAGTTTCGTCTCGGACAATCCTCGCTGTCTGACCTCAGCCTCCTCACATTTCCCTTACCGTCTTGAAAATGCAAAGCCCTGTGTACTAACTCCACCGTGTGTTTCGTCTCTGGGTTGGTGTCAACTGACTGATGTTTCTGTGGGTTTTAATTTTTCACTCCTCTGTATGCCTGCTGATTTTTTAACTAGGTGCAGATACTGTGAATTTTACTTTGCTGGATACCTCATATGCGTGTATTATCCTAAATATTCTTGACCTGTGATACTGTTAAGTTTCTTGGGAACAGTTTGATCTTTCAAAATTGCTTTTAAGCTTGGTCAGGTGGGGCCAGAGCAAGCTTCCTTCTAGGGCCAGCTTTCCCCCGCGGTCAAGGCGGGCCCTTGTGAGAACCCCCCAGCTGCCCCACGCGTCGCGAGGGGGTGTGTGTTCTGGCTGCTGCAGCACAAGACCCCCCCAACCCTTTGTCCCGCCAGGGATCGTTCTGCCTGCTCCTGCCTGGCGCCCGCCCGCCCGCCCCACCCTGGGCCCCGGGTCACACCTTCCGTGCCTGCGAGCTGGGTCTCGGAGGAGGGGAGGGGGTCCCATGGGCTTCCTGCGCTCAGACTCGTTCAGGTGCAGCGCTGTGGCCCTCGCTCCTGGCCGCACCACAGGCTGCTTACCTCTCAGAAAAGTGCAGTGAAGAAAGCGTGAAACGAACCACGTTCTTCTGGGAGGCGGCACGTACCTGTCGCTGGTAAACACGCAGGCAGCCACATCCTTCAGGGCAGCGAGCAGCACGCCCACAACAAGCGCACAGGCCCCTGGAACACAGAAGAGACGGCCGGGGTGAACGCTCCGGCCGGGGTGGGGGGGGGGCAGTCCACGCGCGGGCTTCCCGTGCGGTCTGTGCCGACGGTATAAGAAACAGTCACTTTGGAGAGTTTCTTCCTACTGTCTGTGCAAAGAGCTGCTGAGGTCAGGTGATGCCAACTTGTTTTCTAAGGGAGACTCGGAAAAGATGCTCAATAAGGTGCCAGCACCATCAGAACCCCTAAGGCTCAGATTCCAGAGGGGCAGCTGCCCAGGAACCCCAAGGACTGGGCACACGGGCTCTGGTCAGAAAACAAGCCTGCGCGTGGTAACGCTGCCTCTGAAATGATGTCCATGGTGCCAAGCGGAACAGTGTTGAGTTGGTACCTGATAACAAGGCCATACTTAGAAGCTTTATTTAGCTGAGTCAACGGGAGATGGCATAAAGAACAAAGATTTCTACTGCATGTGTGTAGGGGAGCCACTTCCTAGAAACACTGACCGGTCAGATGGGACCCAGTAAGGAGGCGGGCCGCAGGACTGCACACTCACCTGCACACAGGAGGGCGGTGACGCAGGCCTGCCGCGCCCGCTCAGCCTCCCCAGCCCCCAGGGCGTTGCCCACGCGCACACTGGCAGCCGTGCCAAGGCCAAGGGGCACCTAGGAATGAATGGTCACAAATCATGAGAAGTCAGAGGGTGTGAAAATTAGAACGTCTGTGTGCTCGGGTCTAACTACACAGAAACCTGAGATGGAACCAGAGATCCAGGTTCTAGAGCTGGTTCCATCACATCCCAGATGCGTGACCGTGAACTCACAGCTCAGCCGAGTTCTTTGCAGTCACAGACGTGTAGCGGCTGCCCTGACCCCTGCCGGCACCAGGGGCGTCAGAGCAGAGCCTCTCAAAGACGCTGCATCTGAGCAGCCAAACACGTGCTGCCAAGACTCAGCTCAGCCTCACTGCAGGATAAGGGTTAACGTACTACAAATATAAATATATAAATGATTTGTAACAATGAAGTGAACCATGTGAAAAAGCACTTAAAACAAAGCCTGGCACAGTGTGGGGACGCCATAAAATCTGATGAAATCTCACTCCCGTTGTGTGACCCACTGTGTGTCCAACCTTCCATACATCCAGTTACCCAGCAAACTGAATTATGTCCCTTCAGATGCCAAAACTTTATTTAATTAATTATGGATTATGGAAATCTGAAGCTGTAAGCAGACCATCATTCAGCCTGCAGGATCATCTTCTTGACTCCCTGTTGTCACCCTTTAGTAACACCCAAACAGCCCCCGAAGGCAGAACTGTAACACGAGTTACATAGAAAACTGGCTTTAGCTGTCACGCTTGCTTTTAATAACTCCACAGCAGTTTTAACTTCGCATTCCTGCTAGCAGCAGTGTCCTCATGAGAGCCTTCTAATGTGTTGCTGTTTCAGAACCAGCCTAAGTTGATTTAAAAAATACATATATATAGTAAAAATTGTGAAGATTAAGAACTTGAAAAACAATGGAGCTAAGTACATGAAAATTTGCAAGACTTGATCCAGCAACCCCATTCCCGGGCACATAGCCAGAGGGAACTCCGATTGAAAAGACACCCGCACCCCAGTGTTCATAGCAGCACTGTTTACGACAGCCAAGACATGGAAACAGCCTAAATGTCCATCGGCAGATGACTGGATAAAGATGACGTGGTATCTATATGCAGTGGAACACTACTCAGCCACAAAAAAAATTCCATTTGCAGCAACATGGATGGACCCAGAGGTGGTCATTCTAAGTAAAGCAAGCCAGACAGAGAAAAATACCATATGATATCACTTATATGTGGAATCTAAAAAAAAGAAAAAGAAAAAAGAAGACACTAATGAACTCATCTACAAAACAGACTTGCAGACACTGTAAACAATCTTATGGTTACTGGGGAAAGGGGATGGAGAAGGGATAAATTTGGGAGTTTGAGATTTGCAAAGGTTAACCACTGTATATAAAAACAGGTCAAATTTCTTCTGTGTAGCACAAGGAACTATAGTCAACATCTTGTAATAACTTTAATGAAAAAGATGAAAACGAATATACGTATGTGTATGTGTGACTGGGACGTGATGCTGTGCACCAGAAATTGACACATTGTAACTGACTGTACTTCAATTTAAAAAAAATTTACGAGACTTGCAGACCCAAAGTATACGTACGTGTTGCCAAATTGGAGGGCCGGCTCACATGCTTTAACCCTCTTCCTTCCCAGAATGCCACTAAAGTGTCAGTAAAGATGCTTGACAGAAGAGAAATCCATTGACAACACTGAGAGTGAGCAGGTGGACCAGACTCTGGAGAGGATCCCCGGAAGCCGAAGTCCAAGCAGAGACAGGAGAAGGCTGGCTCTCCGTCATCCCAGAGCAGCCCCGACAGCACGGTGGTGATGAGCAGGATGGGGGGGGTCCCCAGGAGGGCCACGGGCGGCAGGGCCACACCCCACTGCCCACTGGACTTCCCACTCAGGCCTGTTTTCCCCCCAAAATAATGAAGGGTGTTGCTTCGCTGTCTGTAACAATAGAAGCCTGGGCAGGAAATGGAGCAGCAGGGCAGCTGCCAGAGGCTGAGGGCAGGAGGGACGGGACTTGGTGTCCAGTGGTGTTTCACAGGAGAAAATTCTGGAATTGATTTACACCAATGTCAATGTACTGGACGCCACTGAACTGTGCAGTTAAAACTGGCTAAGATGGTAAATTGGATGTCATGTGTATTTAACCACAATTAAAAATAAATCTATTTTTAAAAAAAGGAAGCCCGTGACGGAACAGATAGGAAAACAGAAGCCCTGAAGATCCGAGAGGACTGCAGAGAGCTGTCAGTGCACGCCTGCAAACAAGCCTGCGTGGCGGCGTTTACGAGCAGACGCTAAACTGAACCTGCTTTGATGGGACGTCTCCCCCCTCGACACCAGACCTCTGCGCAGAACTGTCCGCCCGGCTGCCTTTGCTCCTTCACGACCTTCAAGGCCGACGCACTCAAATCTGCTTTGTGTTCATCCCCCCGCAAGGGCTCCAAAGGCCCCAAAGCCACAGGACCCCTCCCACCCGCCGCCAGCCGTCCTGCGGGTCCCCCTCCTCCCCCGCCCGCCTGGCCCGGCTCCTGGTGGGATCCCCTCCTCTCCCGACCACTGCCTGCCCGGCCTGCCTCAAGACCCTCTTCCTTTCTATTCCGAGGTGACCACATCTGTTCCCCCCAAATTTTTTTTTCACTTTTAAGAGTAAAAACTATGTATAAACAAATAAAAACGGCCCACCATCCCACTGCCCACATGGCATCTAGCTTTGAAAAACAAGACACAAGCAAAAGGCAGACTTGTACAGGGTCGGACGTTCAAACCGCACGGCCCCCAAGCAGTTGTCCGAGCCAGAGGCTCTGCGGTCCCTTGCCCTCCGCACCCAACCCTGCGATGCCCCTTGAGTCCCGCCCACGACACGGCGAGGTCGCCGCTCCCCCTCCTGCACCTGCAGCCTCTGCCTGCTCCCCTGGCCGCTGCCAGCAGCCTCCGTCCCGCCCTCCCCACTCCTCCGCTCAGCCAGCTTCCGCCCGAAGCTCCCGTCCTCACGCACCCCCCCCCAGGAGCTGGCTTCAGGCCGGAGCCCCCAGGTGCTCATTTCCCGACAGAGCCCCTGCTGGGGCCGCGCGGGGACCTCTCAGCCAGGCGCGCCCTCCCTCCACGTCCCCACCCAAGACTAAGACCGGTCCCGCCTGCCGTCTGAAAAGGTGTCCATCTGTCTGTGCGTCCATGCGTCTCTGACACTCCGCTTCCTTTAGGGTGCGTATTTTATGCGTTTATAACACTCTCGTTCATCTGTCTCCCCACCCGACCACGAGCCCCAGGAGGCAGGGGCTGTCCCCCCTCAGTCTCCACCGTCCCCAGCGCCCCGTCTACGTGTGCAAGAAGCTCAGTATTTCCAGCAAACGTGCCAGGCGTTACGCTTTCTCGTAACCAGTCTTCGCCTGCAGAGTAGATCTCAGTTTTTCCCATTTTGTGTTTGAGGAAACTGAAGCCCAGAAGGGTTAAGAAACGAGCCCAGCACCACAGCTGGGAAGCAGCCCCCAAACCCACGCCCCCCCCTGCCGTGCCCCCTCGCGCGGTCGGCCCCCCTCTCCCTTGGCCCGCGCAGCGCCCCCTTACCATGTAGGCTGCAGAAGCCAGTTCATAAATGACCGCCTGGGCCCCGAGCTCGGTCACGCTCACCAGTCCTGGGATGTGGGCAGAGACACACACAACACACTTCAAAAAGTGGGCGAAAGCAAATGTTTTCCTTGGGAAACCAGAACAGGTCTTAATTTAAGAGAGGCCAACACTGCCCCCAGAAGCACCAGCCCTGTGGCAGGATTCTCTGCTGAGAAGCTCAGACGTCCAGTCCCAGGGAGCTTCCAAGAACTGAGGCAGCTAAGACGGGACACAGGCTCGTTCCTGCAGCCCCTGCTCCCCAAGGACAAAGCACGGGGCTTGAAGTAGGAAACAGGCCCCTAGAGGTGCAGGGCGCCCCGCAGGGAGCCAGGGTCACAGTGGTGGGGAGGACCGAGGGCGGGGAGCCCTGACAGCTGATGGGACGATGAAAGCATTCACATGCCTACAGGAACACCCACATCAAGCGCTACCATCCTCCCTCCTGCTTCCTCCAGCCCGTCACCGGCAGTGGGTGGCTAAAGGGTACGCCTGTGACCAAAACTACCACAGGTCTGACAGAAGCAGAGCAAGGCTCAGACAGCCCAGGCAGCCTCTGTGTTTGCAAATGTCCCGGAAACTTGGCACAAAGCCAGAGAACGTCATCTGAGACAGAAGGTGACCAGAGGCCAGAGGCCTAGACTCAGGTTTGTTGTTTTGTTTTTAACTTTTGAGGGGTGGGTGATTAGGCTGTTGGTTGGCTGACTGACTGACTAATTAAAAGGAGGTACCGAGGCCTGAACCCAGGACTCAGCGCAGGCTGAGCACCTTGCGCTCTACCCCTGAGCCTGCCCCTCCCCGCCAGACTCAGGCTTTGTTCTCCTGCTTCATGACCTTGGCAGGTCTCCCCATGACCTTGGCAAACCGCCCTTTCTACAAAGTGAAAGGCTTAGGGCAGCACTAAACCCTCACCCAGCTTGAATACACTCATGGCTGGGTGAGGATTTACACCTGTGCTGAAATCTGCCACGAGCCTGTGGAGCAGAGGGGGGAGCAGCCAGGCGCGGGTTTCCTGGGGAGCTCCGGAGACGGGCGGCCAGGCTGCAGCCAGGCTTCCACCGAGCTGCTGACAGACCTGCCAGGAAGGTTCCGATCTCGAAGGTCCACCACTCGATGCACAGCATGAACATGCTGGGGACGGCCAGCCGGATGTAGAGGCCCCACTCCTGGAAGCAGTCCATGGTCCAGCCTGGAAGACATGAGAGAATACATTTACCTTCCCGCGGTCAGATGCCAGCAGTTCCACTCCACACGCCCGCCTCCGCCAGACGCGCACAGACGGGCAGGAAGCACCATGTGCCAGGAAAAGGAGACATTGTAAGGGTGCCAGCGAGACTAAAGTTTCAGATAGTGGGAACGGAGCTGACAAAAGTGCAGTGAGACTGAAGCGTGTACGTCCTGTGACCACACGTGTCACAACATTCGGAGCACTCCAGGAGAAGCCGCGTAGGATGCACACTACAGCTGCTGTGCTCGGGGGGTGCTGAGGCGTCACGGGGTCACCAGGGAACCAGAAAAGCACGACACGACAGATGCAAACTGTAGGCAGAGCAGAACACTGGGCACACCCCAAGCCGTGCAGACAGATCTGAAATACACTGTGAAACTAGAGGCACTGGACCACAGCAAAACTGAAGACTCCTGTGCACTGAAAAAGCACAGTCAGCAGAGGGACAGGGCAGCACAGAGCAGGAAAGGAGACCTGCAAGCCACCTGTCTGACAGCACAGTATCCCGAATGTAAAAGAACTTCTCCTAAGATTCACAGATAACCTACAAGCCCGTTGTTAAAAAAAGATGCTGAGCATCTTTAACCATTAGGAAAATGCCAATCAAACCACAGTAAGATACCGTCTCACACCCACCAGAAATGGCTGATTTAAAGAAACAGACGAAGTAAGTGTTGGTGAGGACGTGAAGGAACGGGAACCCTTGTGCACTGTTGGCGGGAATGTAAAATGGTGCAGCCACTGTGGGAAAACAGTATGGTGGCCCCTCAAAAAATGAAAAATAGAACTACCATACAATCCAGCAGTCTCGCTTCTGGATACACCTACGAAAGAGCTGAAAGCAGGATGTCAGAGAAACTTGCACACTCATATTCACAACAGCCAAAAGGGAGAGGCAACCCACATGTCCATCCACAGATGAATAAGCCAGATGGGGTCTGCATACAAAATGGAATATTATCCACACTTCAAGAGGAAGGAGATTCTGACACGTGCTATGACATGGATGAACCCTGAGGACATTATGCAACACGAAATAAACCAGATATAAAAAGACAGGTACTGCAGAACCTGACTTGTACGAGGTATCGAGTAGTCAGACTCACAGTCAGACAGGTGGTTCCCGGGGGCTGGGGAAGGGAGCCCTGGAGAGCTGTCAAATGGGGACAGGGTTTCAGTTTTGCAAGATGAAAAAGTCTGGAGTTGGATGGATGGTGGTGATGGTTGCAAGACAACGTGAATGTAATTACAAGTACTTAACCATAGGCTTAAAAATGGTTGAGACAGTAAACTTTATGTTACGTTTACTTTATTACAATATAAAAACCAACAACAAAACGTTGTGCTAAGTCGGAGGTCAACAAACTTTGCCTGTAAAGGGCCAGATGGTGCTTATTTTCAACTTTGCCAACTGGTCTCTGTTGTCACCACTCAGCTCTGCTGCAGGAGCACGAGGGCGGCCATGGCTGCGTGTAAACGGTTAGCTGTCACCATGTTCCAATAAAACTTTATTTACTGAACAAACTGCAGCTTGGCTCTGGCTTATTGGCTATAGTTTGCCAACTTCTGTACTAAATGAAAAAATGTATGGAAAACAAACAAATCTAAACTACAATGCTACTAGGTAAATATAAACACATATGCAGACCAAAAGAACAGTTTTCGAAGATAGATATTGAAAGATATGTATCACCATGTTATACGCCTGAAACTAATATAAATCAACTAGACCTAGATTTAAAAGAGAAGGAAAGAAAAGGCATCAAGACTGGAAAGGAAGAAGTCAAACCACCTCTTCCCACATGGGATGGACGATCTTAGATGCACCAGAGAACCCACGAGAGATCGAGAGGAGAGGCGACGTCAGCAAGGCTTCGGGGAACAGTCAGCAGGAGGAGACAGCAGGTGAGAGGCTACCAGGTGCTGGGCAGAGGGAGGATGGGAAGGCACTGCTTAATGGGCAGAGGGTCTATGTGGAGTGGTAAAAGTGTTTTAGAAATAGATGGTGGTGACAGTTGTGTAACATGTAAATGTACTGAAGGGCACTGAACCACACACTTAAAAATGCTGAAAATGCAGAACTAGAACAAATCATAATAAAATTTATATGGAATCACGAAAGACCTAGAATTGCCAAAGCATTACTGAAGAAAAAGAATAAAAGAGGCTGGAGGAATAACTCTCCCAGACTTCAGACAATACTATAGACCTGCAGTCATCAAGACAGCATGGTATTGGTACAAAAACAGACATATGGACCAATGGAACAGAATAGAGAGCCCAGAAATGAACCCACAAACTTTTGGTCAACTCATCTTCGACAAAGGAGGCAAGAATATACTATGGAATAAAGACAGTCTCTTCAGCAAATGGTGTTGGGAAAACTGGACAGCAGCATGTAAATCAGTGAAGCTAGAACACTCCCTTATACGACACACAAAAATAAACTCAAGATGGATCAAACACTTAAACATAAGATACAATAAACCTCCTAGAGGAAAATATAGGCAAAACATTATCTGACATACATCTCAAAAATGCTCTCGTAGGGCAGTCTACCCAAGCAATAGAAATAAAAGCAAGAATAAACAAATGGGACCTAATGAAACTTACAAGCTTCTGCACAGCAAAGGAAACCAGAAGTAAAACAAAAAGACAACCTACAGAATGGGAGAAAATTTTTGCAAATGAAACCGATAAAGGCCTGATCTCCAGAATATATAAGCAGCTCATACGACTCAATAAGAAAAAAACAACAACCCAATCCAAAAATGGACAGAAGACCCTAAACAAAGCAATTCTCCAGTGAAGAAATACAACTGATCAATAGGCACATGAAAAAATGCTCAATATCACTAATTATCAGAGAAATACAAATCAAAACTACAGTGAGGTGTCACCTCACACTGGTCAGAATGGCCATCATTGAAAAGTCCACAAATGGCAAATGCTGGAGAGGCTGTGGAGAAAGGGAACCCTCCTTCACTGCTGGTAGGAATGCAGTTTGGTGCAGCCACTGTGGAAAACAGTATGCAGATTCCTCAAAAAATTAAAAATAAGACTTACCATATGATCCAGCAATCCCACTTCTGGGCATATGTCAGGAGGGAATTCTAATTTGAAAAGATGCATGCACCCCAGTGTTCACAGCAACAGTATTTACAATAATAGCCAAGACAATGGAAGCAACCTAAATGCCCAACAATAGATGACTGGATAAAGCAGCTGTGGTATATTTATACAATGGAATACTACTCAGCCATAAAAAAGATAATAATGCCATTTGGAGCAACATGGATGGACCTGGAGATTGTCATTCTAAGTGAAGTAAGCCAGAAAGAGAAAGAAAAATGCCATATGATATCATTCATATATGGAATCTTTAAAAAAAAAAGGACACTGAACTCATCTACAAAACAGAAACAGACCCGCAGACATAGTAAACAATCTTATGGTTACTGGGGAAAGGGGGTGGGAGGGGATAAATTTGGGAGTTTGAGATTTGCAGATATTAGCCACTATCAATAAAAATAGATTTTTTAAAAGTTTCTTCTGTGTAGCAAGGGGAACTATGTCCAATGTCTTGTAATAACCTTTAATGAAAAAGAAAATAAAAATGAATGTATGTATATGGATGCATGACTGGGACGTTGTGCACCAGAAATTGACGCAAAAAATCAACAACAGCAGAAACAAATACCGTCATATGAGAAATCGGTGTCCTCATTACCTCCCCAGGTGTCGACGTGGACTTTCTTCCACCACATGTACAGGAAGAGAAGTGCAGACAGGAAGAACTGGGAGGCGGTGTTCGCCCACGCTGAGCCCCTGCAGGAGAAGTCAGCATCCCCTGTGAGTGCATCCCTCCCAGGCATGAGTGACCGGGTCCCCGCTCTGTGCAAGGATCACAGGTACCAGATGGGCCCGGGACTCCTTTTAAACACGAGATCCACTTACGATAGACTTGTTTTCTTCCCGCCCAGACTGAATTCTGTGGAAGAGCCCAGCGTTCTACTCACCAATAGCAAAACAGAAGGACGTAACAGCTTGTCCCCGTCCCCCGCCCTGAGAGCCTCTTTAAGCTGTCAAATACAGCCTTAAACATCCTCGGTTAAAAAGGACACAGCGAACAGCTACTGTGTTCAAACGCCGGCCCAAAGCCATTGTGGTTTTATTTTCCAGGATTATAATAAACGTGTTTTCTCTTAGGAAACAGCTTGAGAGCATCTTCAGCGGATGACACTGTGGGACCACACACAGCGTGGCCTGGCCCGGCCCAGAGAGCCACCCTCTGCCCAGTGCTCGCACTTCACCACCTCCTAACCCACTCCGGCACGTTTCTCCTCTCCCACCTACCCCTACTGCCCTTCACATGTCTGTTCTAGAACCTTCTAGGAGATGGTCCCTGAGGTCCCTGCAGAGGAGGCTGCTCAGGCACGGGTGGGTCAGGGTCAGCGCGTCTCAGACCTAGACCTGCCCCCCGACTGACTTCCCCACCGCAGGGCCCATTTCAGGTTCCTGGAGCGGTTGTGGCTGTTTTTGCATTGTTCTTGGTTCCAGCTCTCCCCTGCCCTTTAGTTAACAGCTCTTGTATCTGGTTGCTTCTCTTTTCTTAACGGAGGCACTGGGGACTGAACCCAGGACCTCGTGCCTGCTGAGCACGCGCTCTGCCCCTGAGCTACACCCCGCCCCCCGCATGCAGTTGTCACCGTCGCTGACGGTAAGAAATGCATTTCCGTCACTATCCAGTACTGACGTTAGCATGAACACACAGCATAGGCACGGAAGTCTCATGAGAGAGGTCCCCGTGCCACCTTCGATTTTCTATTCTGTTTCATCTTATTTTAGTTCATTCATAATATATTTGTTTTAAAAGTGCTGGTCATGACCCACAAAACTAGTTGTCGTTTGCAAAGAAACACACTAAAATCTGCCCGGTCCTGGTCTACGCGTGCCGCCGAGACCAGGCCAGCCCCACAGGAGGCAGGCAGGCCCTGGGCCGTGCACCGGGGGTTCCCGGTGGTCTCAGGTGAGGGACAGACCCACTGCTGGTGGTCTTTCCACATGCGACCCTCGTCTGCCCAAGCGGCATCAAGATGAGTCTAGCTCCAGTCCCTACAGTCCAGGGACAGCAGGGCATGTCTGCAGGCCTGTGTCCCCTCCTGCCTTTGCTGGGGTCCCACCCCCAGCCCGGGTCTGCCCGGGCTCCGGGCACTGGCAGGGCTCGAAGCACTGGGGGCTCCCTCTACGATGACCTCTGGCTCCCCAGACTAAGTCCCACTGTTCGTTCCTCCCTCCCAACAGCTGGGCTGGCCGCCCCCCAGGTGTCCCAGCCCCTGCCCCGTGTCCCGCGTCCCGCCCCAGCACCGGGGCCAGCGCAGCCACATGCTGTGTCGGGTGAGCGAGCGGGTCACTACTTACACCACTCCCAGGTCCAGGGCATACAGCAGGAGGGCGTTCATGCCCACATTGAGGACATTCGCTGCCACCCCGGTGATGACTTGAGGCATCAGGATGCCCTGGGGCCCAAGCAAACAGGACAGCGTCTCAGCAGCAGTTCCAGAAGCCAGTCAGCCAGGTGGCGAGGGTCACAGGAGACACACTCAGCTCCCAGCACAGAGCTCCCACAGCCCCTGGGACGTCCTCAGAGGGGAGGTCGCCAGGGGCAACTCTTGTCCCCTTCTGCTCTCTGACCTGGTTCCTGACACAGAGCCTCCGAGAGTCTCGTGAACTCCGCACCGATCAGAGCACCGGGAGCAGCCCCTGCTCTGGCGAGGCCACCCTGCATGGGCTCTCTGGTGGGGCTGGCACTTCCAGGCTCCCCACCACCCCCTCTCCAGACAGGGCACGGGCTGGACGTGGAGCTAACAGAGGGCTATGCCTTCGTGCGGAAGCCGCCGCGAAGTCCCAGCGCACGGGGGAATTCCAGGCTGGTGATCAGGCGGGCGGCCCCGCCCCGCCCCCCGCCCGCCCCCAGCGGACTCATCTGATTCCTTATCCTGTCGTTTCTGAGCCAACCAGCGAACAGTAGGAACAGTTCCCCCAGTTCTGTGAGTGGTTCCAGCAAATGAATGGGACCCAAGAAGGAGGTCCTGGGACCCTCCCCGACTGACAGCCAACTGGTGAGGAGCATGGTGCCAGCCTGGACTTGAGACTGGCATCTCACGGGACCTGATGCCACCCCCGGGTGGACGGGGTTAGGCATGAGTTAAGATGCAGGACGCCCGGCCTGTGTCACTGACGTGCTTGGTGTGGGGACAACATGAGAGTGCACTCAGCATGGCAGCCGTGGGAAAGTGAGGGAGAACGGGAGGGAGACCCAATGCTCCCTAAGTAGGTGGCCACCTGAGCCTCCAGGTCCCAGCAGGAGGCGTGTAAGGGAAAGGCCGTCTGGGAGGTGCCTGGCGGAGGCGCCGGCCTTCTCTGCCGGGCCGGGTGCCGGAGCGTGAAGTCGCCTTGCCGCGCCCGCCTGCCGGGCGTTCACTCGTCACTCCTGATTTTGCTTTACTCTCCGCTGCGCTCGACGCAGCGACTTGAAGCAGGATCACTACGTGCTTTCCCTGTATCTGGACAGCTGGCCACTATCAGCTGGAGTGGCTTTGGGGACAAACAGTGACTCAGGAAGCCAGGGGCTCACAGGCGGGCCAGGGAAGAGACGCAGCCCAGAGCCGGCCTCTCACCTTGCTCACAGAGCCATGCCCCTGGCCTGTCCTCGGCTTCCCTTTCCCTTGTACTCGTGGCCACAGGGGACGCTGTGTACAGCTCGGGGTCCTCCTCTAAAACACAGACACTGAGCCAGGGACTCACCGATCCAGGCGTCTCTCACGGGCGGGACAGAAGCCACCTACAGGATCCCACATCTCCCAGACTGGGCTCCAGGTAGGATTTCAGGACAAAAATTATGAATTACTTTTACAGGAAGTTTCCTAAGAGTATTTCCTCCCAGGGAGGGCGGCCCAGACAGCAGCACTGAGCATGGCCCATCCTGTGGGACCTCAGTTTTCTCATTTGAGGGGGGCCACTCTGTCTAAGCACAGACAGGGTCAGGGCACAGAGCAAAGAAGGCGAGGTGCAGGGGGCATCCGACAGCTGCACGAAGCTGGGGCTGCAGGTACGGCCGGGGTGTGGAGGTTGCAACCTCCACAGGTCTGTGTATGTGTGCAGGTCCCAGGTGGCCCCGTCTACAAGGAGTCACCTGTCCGGTTCTCTCCGGCTCCCTTGTCTCATTAGACTAGGGGAGGGGGCAGTGGGGGATGGACTGCCCAGGGCCTGTGGGTCCAGATCTTGGACCCCCAGCCCACCCCGCCTTGCAGCCTCCCCTCCACTGTAACCCTCAGGCCTAGTCCAGCACTGGGCTGTTGTGTTGGAAAGAGAAAGACTCAAAGAGGGTCCTGATTAAGGCAGAACAGTTACGTCCTAGATTGCAGGAGAAAAATTCAGATCCGAATCCCAACTCAGAATTAACCCTGTCCAGCCCTAACTTCTCTTCTGTAAAGCTGGGTAAAAGGAAGGACCATCTTGCAAGATTACAAGAAATAAATAGACTCTCACTTAGCATATGTCAGATGTATCTGCATAAAACCAAAACTGGGGCAAGCCAGGGAAAAGCCCGTCCCAGAAACAGACTTTTAAATGCTGAAACCTTCCACCATGGCCTGGTGAAATGGCTCAGGCTTTGGAACCAGAGTGAGTTCACGTCCCGGTGCCGAGGCTGACAGTCCGCCTGTGTGACCCTGGGCAAGTCACAGAATCTCAGCTTCCTTATCTAAGACCAGAGACGGCAGAACCTACTCGTACTGTTATGAGAACTGAGTAATACGTTGAGAACTGAGTAAGTTAATATATTTATAAAGCGTTTAGGGCAGTGTCTGGCACAGAGTAAAAACAAGTCATTGTTAATGAATAAAACACAGAAGCACCACGTTGAGTTGAGGGGGGATGTCCTGACCGTTTCTAGTATGAGGGAGTGAAAACAGAAAAAATCTGTACCTGACTTTGTAAATATCTTGCCTGCAGCTGGAACAGGAATGTTGCCTATAAGACAAAAGCAGAAAACACAGCTCTCCGATACAAAAACGTCACTCCAGCAGCTCTGGTCTTCAGTAAGATCCTTACCCTCGAGGTGTGACTTCAGACACTCGGACCCACCTAACAAATGCTCGGACAACCAAATGCATGCTGACTACTCAGAGCGTCCCAGGGTGGATCCCCTGAGCAGCTGACCAAAGCGAACTGCAAGTGCCAGGAGCCTCTCGCTGCCCGACGTGTGACTGGCTCCGAGGGGAACGGGGCAGCGTTTCCCCAAATCCAAGCGGAACCCAGTATGCAAGCTGAGTCATCTGCAACCAGAAGTAACCCCAGGATAAGGAAGGCGTCCTTTCCCTTCGTCAGTGTTGGAATTTAATTTAACTGAACCTCAAAAGGGCGCGAGCCCTGAGGCTCAGGAAGGTGGGGACAGCAGGCCCCAGAGATGCTCAGCTTGTTCTGCACGAACAGCACTTTGATCCAATAAACGAACAGGAGGGGAGGCCCGCGCACAGCAGCACCCGCGAGCTGCTTCGTGAAACACAAGGACGTCCTTGGCACTTACAGGAAGAGCAGGGATCAAGATCATCACGTAAGTCTGGGCCATCCTGAAATAAACAACCAAACAGCCTCCAGTTGACATCAGAACAACTGCTGGCCATGCTGTCTTCAAACTAAATTCGCAGAGCGTTTTCTGAAAATTAAAATTCACGCAGGAGAAGTGCAAGAACAGTTTAAGGGAGAGTTTCTCTGGCGTCGGTCAGCACCACGTCAGGTCTGTCCGCGTCGCCCCCCGGAATGGAGCCTGACTGCGCGCTTTCCAGTGCATTCTAGGCAGGAGAGGTGGGAGGCACACAGCAGAACGAGCTGAAACTCAGGCAAAGTTCAGAAGCCTGTTTTTTTTAATGGAGGTGCTGGGGGTGGAACCCAGGCCTCGCGCCTGCTAAGCACGCACTCTGCCCTGAGCTGTGCCCTCCCCCCAAGATCCTCGTGAAGGGGTGAGGACGGCAGCTGTGCCTCCAGCTTCTAGAAGGTACGGCCTCCTTCCTCCCGCAGCCCCACAGAAGCTGTGGGGGAATAAGTCCCGACTCTGACCACAGGCCGCGCTCTTTGTCAGGGAAGGACCCTGTGCGTTTGCAGAGCGCCAAGGGGCCCTGTGTGAGGCAGGCCGGGCCACCTGTCCCTGAGCACAGGGTCCCTGCCAGCCCGGGATCCCGCAGGCCACCGTCCCCGCTCCCGTCTTCGACAGGATTCAAGCCTGAGTGACCGGCGGAAGCATCGCCACGGGCAAGGTGACCAGACAGCCACTTGCTCAGAACCTAGCGGGGCACAAGCAATGCTGCTGACCTGGACACCTCAGGGTCCTGCCTGAGCAGCAGGAGGAGGCTCTCGGTGTTGATGAAGACGGCCCAGCAGGGGAGGCAGCACAGCAGCAGGATGAGGGTGCCTCTCTGCAGGATGATCCCCACGCGCCTCAGGTTCTTGCCTCCGAAGGACTTGGGGAGAGAAGTGCGGTGATGGAGAGGACGCTGCGCGGGGGCGGCCGGGCTCTGGGCCACCTGCCCGCCAACCCAGCACCTGAGCGGGTCGGCCCGGCGACACCTAAACTCGCCCTGGGACACCGGGCTCCCGCTCCCAGAGCCGGGCCGGGTCAGGACCTCCCCAGGGGCCGGACACATGTGAGGCCTGGGAACTAACTCGGCCGTGAACGAAGTGGGCAGAGGCGCTGCTCTCACGGAGCTGCCTTTCCAGCAGGAAAGGGAGACGGGTGACACAGGAGCCACCGCGGTCCCCGTGCGTCGACAGGCGGGGAGGAAACGCCGCCTGGGAAGGGGTAGAGGATGGAGCGCTGGGGGTGCATAGCTCTCAGCCTGGTGATGGGGGGCCCCCAAGGCTGGTCTGAGAGACTGAGGGGTGGGGGCTGCGCGGCTGGAACAGAGTGGGGGAGGGGTGGGGACGGGCCACCGGGGGCAGCCCCTGGGAGGCAGGCACAGAGAGGGGTCGTCGGGGGAGCGGGAGGCCCCCGCAGAGGTGGCCCGGCTGCTCCCCAGCGCCCTGGCCCGCGAGGCCTCAAGGGCCTCCTTTCAGGCTCCCTTGTCTGCATGTCGCTGAAAGAGTCTGACTTAAACACACATTAAAAAAGACACTGCGGTACCATGTGATGCCACTCACATGCGGAATCCAGAAAAAGAAAAAAGACACTAGTGAACTCATCTACAAAACAGACAGACGCAGACATAGTGAACAATCTTGTGGTTGCCAGGGGGCAAAGAGGGTGGGAGGGGATAAACTGGGAGTTCGAGATGTGCAAATACTAGCGACTATACATAGAACAGATGAAAACCAAATTTCTTCTGTCCAGCACAGGGAACTGTATCTTACAATAAGCTATAATGAAAAGATATGAAAACAAGTATGTACACACATGTGTGACTGAGACACTGTGCTGCACACCAGACACTGACACACAGAACCAGGCTGTGTGGAGAGCAGGCGTCCCAGCAGGGGCCACAAGCACACCTTGGGTGAGAGAGGGGAGAGAGACGGGGCGGCGGTGGAAAAGGATGGCTTTGGGTGCAGGAGATCACACGGGCCGGAAGAAGGACCACACAGCCCTGGGCAGGCAGCCCCGGAGGACAGAACCCGCAAAGCTGAGTTGGCCTGCACGTCCGGCCGCCAGCAGCCTGGGGTCTGACAGACAGAAGGCAGCCCAACCGCGGGCTGTCCCCAGTCCCCCCAGGCAGGCGCTGATAGGAAAGACAACCGACCAGAAAAGGTCCGTGGGGGAGGGTGTCCTCACCTGAGACATCAGCGTGTCACAAGCGGAGGCCAGGCCGGTTCCAACTGAAATGCCCGTAATGTTCACAACCTGCAGGGAGCGGCAGACGAGGCGTGGTGAGCAGAGGCAAGGTCAGCCGGCCCCCTTGCCATGGGTGCCATGCCGGCCCTGTGTTCAGATTGAATGGGCGCCCACGTCTCCCTGTGATGCTCACACAGGACGCACCTCTGCCTCCTGGGTCGTGGTCAGCCAGGGAAGCTGACGACCTGGCTTTTCTTAAACGACACAGCGCTTTACAACGTCTGTATTTAAGAGTTATGCTGTTAACACCTGAAGGCAGTGCTCTCAGTAGTAATAGTGACAGCAACACGTCCTGAGCGTGTGCTTCGTGCAGACACCGTCCCGAGCCCCTCGCGTACACGGCATTGTGGTCACTGTGCCTACTCCACACGTCATCTGGGTGAGCACAGAAGGTCTGGGAAGCCTGGCCCCAGGCTTTGGTCCTCCCAGGAGGACCGGCTCGAGTGTGGGGCCGCCCCACCCCGCACCCTCCACGACCAAGGGCACGAGTGGTCACGTGTGGGCAGGGGTCAGAGCCCACGGTGCCAGTGTGCCACAGACTGGGGAGGGGACACTGAAGACCCTCGTTTCATCCTGGGTCTCACATTTAGCAGTGATGCCAACTGCAAGTGAGCAGACTTCTTGGCTGACCATGACCACAAACTCTAGCCCCCGGGACTCGGCGACAGGCCACACACCGAGCAGCAGGAGGCGCCCACCCCAGGACGCCATCTGCTCTGAATTCAGCCAGGGCAGTGTCAGGGCGACAGCTCCCCAGACATCCCAGCCTCCCAGGCAAAGAGAACGGTGGAGCGCGTCAGCTTCTGAAATGTTTTGTGCTGGAAAAAACAGCCACCCTGAGCCTTTTTTGTAAACGGATGGACTTTGCTGTTCCTGTGTCTCTCTGTGGGTCACGTTGCTAGTCAGACACTGCTTTGGTTAAAGTCACCGAGCTGTCACCAACCCGGCCCCGCCGTCACACTTCCCCCTGACAATGCAGCCCGTGTGTCAAAGATGCACAAGAATTGCTACTGTGTCTCTCGTGGTGCTGGCCCGGGACAGTCTCCCACGTCAGCGCATCCGCCCTGTGAAGCCTTAACTCTGCTGGAGAAACGCCCTGCGACTCAGCGGCACGAAGGCCGCCCCCCACCCCACCCCGAGCGGACGGCTGGACGCGTGGGTGCGGGGCGCCGCCAGGCCCCGCCCCGCCCCGGCCCGCACACTTCCGTCCATGTTCCTTCCACCGGATTCCACCAGCCGGTTATTTACGCTGCACACAAAGTACTGTTATAAACCAACTGAAGTCCTCTGTGGAACCAGGCAGATAGAAACCAAGGTGCTTCCCTTTTCAAACCAAACACTTCTGTAAGTCCTCTCGGGCTGTGTGCAGAATTTCTCATACAGGAAAACGTTTTTAATGCTGTCTGGCTCTCGTAAACAGAGTTTTCTCAGAATGCGTTACAGTTTCACAGCCGACTAAAAGCAGAGTCACACGCCACCCGAGGGAGGGCAGGCGCCGGTCCCGCTGGCGTGAGCCTGACCCACAGAGACTCCTGCTCTGGGACACGCTGACCTTCCCACATGTCTCCGCAGGCCTTTCTGTGTAATTGTAGGCTTGTATTTACTCCATTCCTATTATTTTTGCTTCAAAAACTAGGAGCTCTTTTTTGACCCTCTTATCAGTGGGTGATCTGGCAGAAAAACAGAAAGAAGGAAAGAATCACTCCAAAACACACATAAAATCTTAATTTCGGTTTTTCCCCCCAAGATATGTTATAAAGCGGTTTGAATGAGATACAGTACAGCCACTGTGGAAACAGGACGGAGGTCCCTCGGAACGCTAAGCACAGAACCGCCGTGTGACCAGCACTCCACTCCGGGGTGTGTGTCCAGGGAAGTGGAAGCACTGCCGTGCAACGACTCCTGCACCGCAGTGAGCGCAGCAGCCCCGTTCCCAGCAGCAGGGCCCGGAAGCAGCGCGTGCCCGTCGCAGACGACTGGACAGAGAAGGTGCGGTGCGTGTGCACACACGGCGGGACGCTAGCCGTGAAAAAGAAGGAAACTTTGCCGTTTGCAGCAATGTGCACGGACCTGGAGGGCATTATGCTAAGTGAAATGAGTCAGAGAAAGACAAGTACTGCATGCTGTCACTGACGGGTGGAATCCAAAAAATACGGCAAACTAGTAAGTGTACAAAACAGAAACAGACTCTCAGCTACAGAGAAGAATGAGTGGTTACCAGTGGGGAGCGGGAAGGGGGGCGAGACGGGGGAGGGGATTCAGAGGTTCAAACTGCTCTATCTAAAATAAATAAGTTACAAGGACACGTTCTCCAGCACAGGATACAGAGCCAATATCTTACACTAACTATAAATGGAGCATAACTTTAAAAAGTTGTGAACCTCTATGCTGTACACCTGAGGCTGACGTAACATTGTGCACCCACTGCACCCCAGTTCTCTCAAGTAGCTTTGACGCGGTGCATGGGAGAACGGGAGCCGAGGGGCAAGAACACACAGAAGCGCCGTGTTTAAGCCCTCGCCACAACGCATTTCAGGGGCAACATCCAGGCGCATCTGGGGGATACCTGGGTGAAAGCTCATTTCCCTGAGACGAATGAGCGGCCAGCCCTGAGCCAGGAACCAGGCCGGGCAAGAATCAACACGCGCTGGTCCCTCAGCACGACAGCAGGCAGACAGACGTTCCGTGGGCACAGGACACCGGGCACGGAGGAGGGGCGCTGGGCCTGGCCCCTCGCCCAGGTCACAGGATGTGGGGGGCACCACGAGCAGGGGGCCAAGAGGCCTGGACGTCACCGTCCGGTGTGTGAAGCTGGGAGTGGAACCACGGCACCTGTAGGTTTGGACTCTGGCTGCAGAACGGAGGAGGGGAGGCCAGTGGGGCTGAGAGTGGGAGCAGGAAGCAGAAAACAAGAAGTGTTTCAGGCAGGGGAGGGCACAGCTCAGTGGTAGAGCATGTGCTTAGCATGCACGAGGTCGTGGCTTCAGTCCTCAGCACCTCCGTTAAAAACAAACAAAAAGGCCCGGAGCATCAGACACTCCTGAGCACGCGGAGGGGAAGCAGGTGGAGCCCTCACCCCCAGGGAGAAAACACTCAGGTCCCGAGGCCGTGACTGAGCACAGAGGAGGACACCGCCTGGTGACCAGGCAGCCCCAACAAGGACACGGGCAGGATGGCACACCGCGATGGACCGTCCACACATGGACGGTAGGAGAGGACAGGCTCTTCAGTAGAGGGTGCTGGGAAAACTGGGACAGCCACGTGCCACAGAATGAAACCGGACCCCATCTGACACCACCCACAGAAACCAGCCCCAAACGGATGAAAGACGTGGACATAAGACTTGAAACCGTGAAACCACTAGAAGAAAACACAGGCAGTGAGTTCCTGCAGTTGACCGTGGAGATGATTTTTTGGATTTGACACCAAAAATCAAAGGCAACAAAAGCAAAAATAAACAAATGGGGCCACATCAGACTGAAAGGCTTCCGCACAGCCAAGGACACGATCCACAAAATGGAACGGCAGTGCACGGCACTGGGAGAGAGTACTCGCAAACTGTATCTGATAAGGGGTTAATACCCAGAATCTATAAAGAAGTCATACAACTCAATAGCAAAAAACAATCTGATTTTTAAAAATGGGCAGAGGATCTGAGCGTTTTTCCAAAGACATGCAGACGGCCAACAGGTACTGAAAAAGTACTCACCATCACTACCAGGGAAATGGAAATCAGAACCACATTAATCCCTCACGCCAGCTGGAATGGCTGTTACCAAAATCCCAAGAAGTAAGTGTCGGTGAGGGTGTGGAGAAAAGGGAACCCTTGTGCACTGCTGGTGGGAATGCAAACTGGTGCAGCCACTGTGGAGAATATGGCAGTTCCTTAAAAAATTAAAAATAGAGCTACATATTATGATCCAGCAATTCCACTTCTGGGTATTTATCCAAAGAAAATGAAAACACAAACTTGAAGGCTAATGTGCACCCCCCACCATGTTCACCGAAGCATTATTTACAACAACCAAGACACGGCAACAACCTAAGTGGCCACTGATATCCGCACAATGCAATATTCAGTCATAAAAAGGAAATCTTGCCATTTGGAACAACATAGCTTTGGGGGCATTACAGTAAGTGAAGTACAGACAAAGACAAATATCACTCATACAGGGAATTAAAAAAAAAGTCATAGACACAGAGAACAGGTTGGTGGTTGCCAGAGGGGGGAAGTGGGCAAAAGGTACAACTTCCAGCGATGAAATAAACAAGCCGGGGGATGTCACGTACTGCATGGCGACTACAGTTAATGATATTGTGGATACTGTGTTGCATGTCTGAAAGTTGCTAAGAGAGTAAACCTGAAACATTCTCACCACAAGAAAAAAAGTTTCTGTGTGTGGTGACACATGTAGACTTAGCACAAATGATCACTTTGCAACATATACAAACCCTGAGTCACTGTGTCCTACACCCACAACTAGTATAACATTATGTGTCAACTTTTATCTCAACATTTTAAAGTATATTTTTTATTGAAGCGCAGATTTACAGTGTGGTGTCGATTTCTGGTGTACAGCACAGCACCTCAGTCACATAGGAACATACATTCATTCTCATGTTCTTCTTCACCATACGTTACTACAAGATACTGAATGTGGCTCCCTGTGCTATACAGTATGAACTTGCTGTTTATTTTATATATATTTGTTAGTACCTGCAAATCTCAAACTCCCGATTTATCCCTTCCCACCCCCTTCCCCAACTGGTAACCATAAGTTTGTTTTCTATGTCTGTGAGTCTGTTTCTGTTTTGTAAATAAGTTCATTTGTCTTTTTTTTAAATTCCACATGTAAGTGACATCATGTGGTATTTTTCTCTTTCTGGCTTATTTCACTGAGAATGACAATCTCCAGTTTCATCCATGTTGCTGCAAATGAAATTATTTTATTCTTTTTTGTGGCTGAATAGTATTCTGTTGTATAAATATACCACAACTTCTTTATCTAGTCTTCTGTCAGTGAGCATCTACGTTGTTTCCATGTCTTGGCTGTTGTCAATAGTGCTGCTATGAACATTGGGGTGCATGTGTCTTTCTGAATTAAGGTTCCCTTTGTATATATGCCCAGGAGTGGGACTGGTGGATCATAGGGTAAGTCTATTTTTAGTCTTTTGAGGAATCTCCATACTGTTATCGTAATAGCTGCACCAAACTGTATTCCCACCAGCAGTGCAGGAGGGTTTCCTTTTCACCACACTCTATCTCACCTTTTTTTAATTCATTAATTAAAAAAAAATTAAAAGGAAACTGCAGAGTAAAGATTTGGAAACAGAGATAGAAAAAGGCAGACCCCAAGCCTGGGTCCCTCCAAGTTTCAGATAATCACCCACGGCTAATGTCTGTTCACAGCCAACAGGGTGACCAGAATACAATGCGTGCCAGGGCTGTGTCACCCTACACGGCACACGAGTCAAGATCATCTTTCTGTTAACAACCTGTATATAAAGCTTCTCTTTCTTGACTTTCTAGAGGCCCAATCTAAACTTTCAAAGGAAACAGAAATCTCCCTTAACCCGAATTAGTTCACCCAATAGACTTGTAAATACAACGTCTGATTTCGCATACCAATGTGGTCTCAACCATAAGGGGGACTTGCGGGGAGCGCCAGGATCTTAGGGCTACACCAACCTAGGCGGGGACAGAAGGGACGTTTTCTGAGACTGAGGAAGACAACCTGCCATCACCAGCGGAAGCATTCTTTCCTCCTTTGAAAGGAGGAAGTGCAAGAGAAGCGACTTTCCACCACAGTACCCACAAAGACGCCGGGACACAAGACTTCAAAGCAGGCGTAACTTCAATCCACTTACTACAAGGATAAAATAGGGACCTTAATGAACTAATTCAAACTACTGGCAGACAACCTGGATCATCTGTGTGTGCTCTGGTTTAACTTCACCACAGAAAAAACAAAAACGCAGTTCCTTGCCTCCTGCCAGCACAGTGTGTCTCCCTGCCGCACCTGACCCTCCCTGGTCAGAGGTCAGCCGCACCGGGACAGTCTGAGAGCCCGGGAAACACCTTTGCTATGGAGTTGCCGCGATCTCCTTTCAAATCGAACGCGAAGGGAGCCTCGGGTCGAGCTCGGACCCTGTGAAGGAGCACGTGTCAGACATCGCACAATTCAAATTCTAGGCTTTGCGAGGACGTCGGCCCGAAGAAGATAAACACGAAAAAACCTACCGAGACCGCGAGCGTGACAGCATCCAGCTCGACTCTGCCCAGGTGTCCGCAGAAGATGGAGCTGACGATGCTGATGAGAAAGGTCATCAGCTGCGCGAGGAACTGCGGGGAGAAGCGGGGGACACGCGTGACCCCGACCCT